CCTAAATGTCCAGCTGAATGAATTAAGGCATATCTATTAAATTCAGTAACTTAAAATATTATAGACTATCTATTAGTATTGAAAGTTGTCACAAGATACTAAGTAAAAAAAGTAGAATGTGCAGTACGATCCCATTTTTAAAAAGCTTGAATATATTTATATGCTTAAGACAAGACTAAAAGGAAGGTCAGTCACTAAAATGTTACCAAGTGATTATTTCAGGGGTGAGGTGGTAGTAAGACAAATTTTTTTCTTTTAACTTGACTAATTTTTTTTAAATTTTTTTTTCTCCTGCTTGACCCCAACTGTTTTCTTTCTTTCTTTCTTTCTTTCTTTCTTTCTTTCTTTTTGTTTTATTGTTGGGGATTCATTGAGGGTACAAGATGGGTCACACACTGAGACCCCACCCTTTTTTTTTTTTTTTTTTTATAAATTTTTAAAAGCTGAGCAGCTGGGTGTAGTGGCTCATGTCTGTAACCCCAGCATTTTAGAAGGCCAAGGCAGAAGGATTGTTTCAGAGCCTAGGAGTTCAAGTGAGACCCGGCTCTCTAAAACAAAAAACCGGGCAGGGTGGCTCATCCCTGTAATCCTAGTGCCCTGGGAGGCTGAGATCGATAGATTGCTTGAGCTCAGGAGTTTGAGACCAGCCTGAGCTAGGGTGAGACCCCATCTCTATAAAAATAGAAAAATTAGCCGGGCATTGTGGTGGGTGCCTATAGTCCCAGCACTTGGGAAAATGAGGCAGGAGGATGGCTTGAACCCAGGAGTCTGAGGTTGCTGTGCACTATGACGACACCATGGCACTCAACCCCAGGGTGACAGAGTAAGACTCTGTCTCAAAATAAAAAGGCTGTGATAACATAACATAAAATTTACCATCTTAACCATTAAAAAAATTTCTTAAATTGCAGTAAAATGCACATGACATAAAATTTACCATTTTAACTATTTATAAGTACATTTTCAGTGTCATACAATTGTCACCACCATCGGTCTCCAGAAATCCCTTCCTCTTGGAAAACAGAAACTCCGTTCCCATTTAAGAGTTAATTCCCTATTTCTCCCAACTTCCCAGCCCCTGGGAACCACCAGTCCACTTTCTGTCTCTACAGATTTGACTGCCCTAGGCACCTCGTGTAGTGTAGTGGGATCGTACAGTGTTTGCCTTTTTTTTTTTTTTTTTTTTGAGACAGAGCCTCAAGCTGTCCCCCTGGGTAGAGGGCCGTGGCATTACAGCTCACAGCAACCTCCAACTCCTGGGCTCAAGTGAGTCTCCTGCCTCCGCCTCCCAAGTAGCTGGGACCACAGGCGCCTGCCACAACGCCCGGCCATTTTTTGGTTGCAGCCGTCATTGTTGTTTGGCGGGTCCGGGCTGGGGATACGAACCCGCCACCTTAGGTGTACGTAGCTGGCGCCTTAGCCCGTTGAGCTATAGGCACCGAGCCCAGTGTTTGCCTTTTTGTGACTTATTTCACTTAGCACAATGTCCTCAAGGTTCATCCATGTTGTAGAATGTGCCAGATTTTCCTTTCTTTCTAAACCTGGATAATATTCATTTTTTAAAAAATAATATTCCATTTTTTAAACCAAATAAACATTCTGTTTATCCATTATCTGCTGATGGACGCTTGGGTAGCTTGCATCTTTTCACTATTGTGAATAATGCTGCTAGGACACGAGAGTACACGTATATCTTCAAGACCCTGCTCTCAGGTCTTTTGGGTGTATCTCCAGAGGTAGAATTGCTGGTCCATATGGTGATTTTCTTTTAAGTTTTTTTAGGAACTACCATACTGTTTTCCATCACTTTCTTATCTATTTTTACAACATGCCTAAGGAAAAACAATTTAAAGCATATTATAAGACAATATGATCTGACTTTTTTGATAAATGCCTATAAAAGAAAAATACTGGTACAACACACACCAAAAGATAAATGGTCATTATTTCTCTATGATAGGATTATAGGTAATTTTTTTTCCTTTTGATTGACTTCATTTCTAATTTTTCTACAGTCATCATGTATATGTTTAAGAAAAAAACTAAAACTAAAACTAAAACGGGGGCAGATGAAAAAAATAAAACTAATCAAAATGGATTATACAAAATGTTTAAAAGGTTAAGAAAACAAACAATAAAGTAGCAAACAGACAAATGCCTTGGGGTGCTGGCTGGGCGATCCTCCCACTGCACTGAGGGGCAAGGACCCTATTCCATTTGCACAGTCTCTTGGGGTAACAGGAGTTGGGTGCTGAGCAGGACCCTATAGAAAGGAGGGTGGCGGAATGGGGCGGGGTGGGTGATGGTGGCCTGGCCACCCAGTCAAGGCAGCAAGTAGATCTACCTGGGCGGGGCAGAGTGGGAGGAAGGAGGGGAGGATCAAAGGAGAGTTGTCAGTGACTCGGTATCGTTTCCCCAAGGCTGCAAAGGGAAACCTCCTGCTCAAGTTTCCTCCTCACCATCTGGTTGATACTCAGGGTGCAGCTTACCAAGGAAGCATCCAGGTTGGGGTGGGGAAGCGGCACGAAAGGCCCTTGGGAGTAGGGCCAGCCAGTAGAGGCCAGGGTCCAGCCAGCCGGGCTCTGCTGCTGACCTGTGGTATACTGCTGGGCAGCCCTGCAGCCCTTGCCCTCTCTGGGCTCTGGGCCTCAGGTATGTTGCCTGGACCTGAGAGTGAACAGTAGAAAGGGCTGACCTGGTGGAGATGGCCAGTCACACTGGCCTCCACTGGAGCCCAGAGAGAAAAGCAAAGGGGCCCAAACTAGAACCATGCTTGGTCCCTCAGGAACAGACAGTCCTCACACCCTGCCTTGTCTCATACCCTTCCCTGAGGGTGGGCCAGAGGGCAACAAACTCTAGACAGCCCTTTGTTGTGTTTAACAAGACTGTCACTGGCCCTCTAGCCATAAGGGCCTGTGAGGAAAGAGTTCTAGGGAGCACTGTTGTCCCGCACTGCAGATGTGCCATGAGACACAGCTGCCACACTGTGGGGACCAGATCCCAGAGAGACTCTCCCCTCCTCACATGACTGCTTGGCAGAAAAAGTACCAGGTCCAATCTCTTGGGTCTCCAGAGAGGCTAATCCAGAGATGCAGCCTGAACAAACCAGAGGCAGAACAGGCAAAGGGGGTCCAGGAAGAGGTGTCTTGCTGGCTGGAGGGGTCCTTTATGGTTTTGGGGACCTCAGGTGTGGTCTCTGCTCTAGTGTGCAGAGTTGGGCAGGCCAGTGTTGTGGGGAGCCAGGTCCCCCCCACTGCCAAGTCATCTCACCTGCTTGGAGTTTGCTAAGGTGCCAGGGACACCCTGAAGGCCTCAGGGTCATACTAGACTCAGTTCCTGGCCTGCCTTTGAGCCACTCTCCCCTCTTCCCCAGACAGCAACTTTGCTGTTCTCAGTAAGAACACCAGAGGCTGGAGGTGGGGGAAGCAGGCTGTGTCCTTGCCCCTGCTGTTCCCCAGTCCAGCATGTCCTCCCCTAGCCAACCCTACCTGTCCTTCACTCACATATTCTTCAAGTGCTTCCTGGTAGCCAACAGGCATCATGCCTGATGGAAGGTCTAGAGGGCAGAACACCTAAGCCCATGAGCCCACAGAGCCCCTACCAGGCCAGGAGAACAGCTGGGTGAGCACTAGCGAGGTGGGGAGTTGGGTCTGGAAGGATCAGAGCACTACCAGGGCAAGAGAGAGGAGAAAGGGCACTCCAGGCAGTGAGACAGTCAAGGCAAAGGCTTGGGGGCAAGGGGCTTTTGTTGCCAGCATGGAAATCCCTGTGGGCCTCAGAAGCCAACCAGCCTGGGCTGGGCTTCTACAATGGCAGGGACAGGGCAGGTGGAACTCCCTGGCCAGGCTGAACAAACGTCTTATGCCAAGAATTCTGAAAGGTAAGAGGTGCATGAGAAAGCTGGGATGATACTGTGTTAGCACAGTTCTGAGAGCTATCCTACCCAAAAGAGGACCTCACCTGTCACATCTCTCAAGCTAAAGACCAGATCTCCTTACCAAACATCATACCTGGTGTTAGTGCCCCCAGCAGCGCTCTGAGGGTGGGTAGCATTATCCCTATTTCACAGAAGGCACTGAGGCTTGGCGACAGCCCAAGGCCACAGAGCTAGGATGCTGGGAGTAGTCTGGATCTGCTGACAGCAGGCCTCTCTGGGTGACAGAAGTGGGGTGTCCCCTGCCCATTCAAGTGACAGGTTGCAGTGGCAACCTGGGCAGGGGAAAGGTCAAGGGGTACTACCTGTCTGAGCACTGTGGCCTGGGCAGTGACAAACTGCTCTAGTCTCAGTCTGTCCATCGATCTTCAGGGAAAATGATCCCGAGACTTTGCTGGCTTTTAATGCCACCTGATAGCCCAGGCAGAGGGGCCCAGGCCCGAGTGGCAGGTTTCCCAGTATTTTGCAATTTCTGCTCACTGTCTGGTTCTGGGGATTTGAGGCTGCCTGTCCCCTTTGTCTTTCTTATTCGGGTCTACCCTTCCAAAACCCAAGGAGAGGGGCTGTCCTGGGAAGGAAGGAGACCCCTGCTGAACCACTCTGGGTAGTGGGCTTACTTTTAGTTATCCAGGAGTGGAAGGACATCAAATCTGGAGCCAGTGGGCCCACAGTGGCTCTGAGTCCAGCAGGCAGGGACTCTCTGTAGCAGCCCCAGGATGCAGTGAGACTGTAAGAGACCTGCAGCCAGAGGCTGGGTCCTCAATTCCTAGCTGTGTGACTTTGGCCAAGTTGCTAAGCCCCATCTATAAAATGAGGTTAAAAGGATTCTCTTGTTTCAAGCTACAGTGAGGATTAACTAAAAACATGCCCCAAACCACCCACCTTGGAGTCCAACATTCAGTGAACATTCAATTCCTGGCAGAAGGATCTGGGCCTGTAAAGCAGCTCAGGGGTAGAGCAGTGGCCTGAATTTGGCTCCTGATGGAGGTCAGTGCTCCTCCTAGTGAGACATCCAGCCCACACGGGTACCCCAGACCCAAGGGGGTGAATAAGAAGCCACACTTACTTGAGGATGTCCTTCTTATTGAAGAAGGTGCAGTCCTGTGGGAGGAAGCACACACAGTTGGCCTGCAGCTCCCAGGCTTCTCTCTCTCTCAGGGCCCTCGATGCTGCAGGGCCTTGCAGGAGCAGCCCAGGACTGGTGCAGGAGAGACACTGCTGCCACTGCCCACTCCCTTTTCTAGGGGGCCCAGAAAATGCAGCCTGAAGGCTTTGTCCTTCCTGAGCCGGGCCTGGGGAGTTGTGGGCATAGGAGGAGGTACATATCCCACCTCTAGGAAGGAGATGGAGAACTCGCAGGCGGATGTGCCTGAAGGGAGGGCAGGGAGATGCACTGTGGTATAACAGGGGAGCTGGCCAGGAGACAGCTCCAGAGTGAGGACTTACAGGTTCCCGCACTGTGCAGCTGCAGGGGGCACTAATGGCCCTGGCAGGATTGTGCGATGTGTGTCCCAGGTGGCCACAGGCAGCAGCCCCAGGCTCAGAGACCAAGAGTTCTAGGCACATAGTCCAGGGAAGAAATATCAGCATGTATCTGGCGTCTGAACCATAGGAATAGATGAGGCCACATAGGGAAGGGAGTGGAAAGACCCTGGGTACAGGGAGGAGGAAGGTGGCCAGGGAGGAGCCAGTGCTGCTGGGATCCCCATGTAGGCGTTCCTCAGGGAGAAGCAGCACTCAGCTGTGACCCCCCTCATCTCAGGGGTCAGGTCAGGCCTGCCCAAGGTGTCAACTCCAGGAGCCTGTGATGATGGCTCCTGTGTCAGGGCTTTGTGAGTGGCACAGAGGTGAAAAGGACCCTGCACCTCATAAAATGCCCAGCTGCGGGAGAGGTTTTATGCTTCTCTCCACCACTGTTTAGTTCCTCCACCTTTGCCCACTGCTCTAGCATGAAGGGAGAAGGCCTTGTAGGTTCTGCAGAGCCCAGAGACCATGGGGCTTCCCAGGGCCAAATGCTGACCTGAGCTGGCTCTGATGAGGAGCTGTGACCACAGCCCAGGCCTGCACACAGCCAGGCCTGCCCTGGATGACACCTGAAGTCACTAGCCAGGAGGACAACTGGACTGTGAGTTGAGGAGGGCCAGAGAGAGGATGCCCACAGGATGCACACAGCATCTAGGACTTCTACTAGGCTCCTCAGGAGAGCTGAAGAGGGAAGAATCTGGGAATTTCCAGGCCCCATCTGGCCCAACAAGTTTTCTAAGCTACCTGCTGCTCCCCAGGAAACATAGGGGCTTTGCTGACAGGGACCTTCTAAGCCACCCATTGATCCTCAGGAAATGTCTGGCCTTTGCTGATGGGGCTCCTCTATAGAAGCCAGGAAAGGTGCAGGCCAATGAAGCAGCCCACCACTCCCCACCCAGCAGATAGAAAACTCCTAGCCTCCTAGGCCTAAGACAGGCAGGCTGGGGACATGTGGGCTGACTCCTCAGCAGACTCCAGAAATCTGGAGCAGGCAGCCAGGGAAGCCTGACCAAGTCTCTGTGCACAGAATTCCCTCTACCCCAGAACTGTTTCCATGCTCTGGAGGGGCCCCGTAGAAGGCCAGGCCCTCCCAACTAGCCTAGAGGGGGCTGGCAGCAGAACTGGGAATGAGGAGAGGTCTTGGCTTCTGTTTTCTTCTGCCTAATCTGTCCTTTTCCCCTTGCTGTCTCCTCTCCTATCTCCTGGGTTGGAAAGGAAGTACCCAGGTCCCGACCTGAGGGTTCTACTGGCCAAAGATGCAAAAGTGTCCCACAGAACCCTGCTCCCTAGTCACAGTTTCGTAGAGCTTTATGCCAATACAAGTTCTCAGGCTCCATGTCTACTGAATAAAAAACTCTAGGAGTGGGACCTAGGAAGGTGCATTTAAAAAAAAGCCCTCCCAGTGGTCCTAAAGTGTGCTGAAGTGTAAGGATGCCTGTTCTAGAGCAGAATCATGGAGAGAGCTGTTTAAAATACCTTTGGCTCCCACCTCTTAGCAGACTCCTGAGCCATGAAATAGGAATCCCTGAGGATGTAGGCATTAGTGGTTTTCAAGGCCACTCAGGGACAGGGCGCAGCAGCTCACGCCTGTAATCCTAGCACTTAAGGCTGAAGCAGGAGGATCACTTGAGCCCAGGTGTTCAAAACCAGCCTGGATAACATAGTGAGACCTTGACTCTACAAAAAATTCAAAACTTAACTGATATGAGCTGGGTGCAATGGCTCAGACCTGTAATCCTAGCACTCTGGGAGGCCAAAGTGGGTGGATTACAAGAGCGAGAGCCTGTCTAAAAATAGCTAGGTGTTGTGGTGGGCACCTATAGTCCCAGTTACTTGGGAAACTGAGGCAAGAGAATCGCCTGAACCCCAAAGTTTGAGGTTGCTGTGAACTATAACCCCATAGCACCCTACCAAGGGCAACAAAATGAGACTCTGTCTCAAAAAAAAAAAAAAAATGGGTGATGCCCGTGGCTAAAAAGAGTAGGGCGCTGGCCCCATATGCCAGAGGTGGCGGGTTTAAACCCAACCCCAGGCAAAAACTGCAAAAAAAAAAAAAAGAAAAAGAAAAAAAAATTAGCTGATGTGATAGCACAAATCTGTAGCCCCAGCTCTCAGGCTCCCAGGCTGAGGCAGGGGGATTGCTTGAGCATAGGAATTCGAGGTTACAGTGAAATATGACTGGGTCACTGCACTTTAGCCTGGGCAACAGAGCAAGACTTTGTTTCTAAAAAAATTAAAAAAAAAAAAAAGAAAGCCACTTGAATGGTTCCAATATGCAGCCCAGGCTGAGAACAATATCACAGCCAGTAGATGATCACCATGCACTTGGCACATAGGACTCTGAATAGCCAATTTTATTCAATCTTCATCATCAGCCTATGAAGTAGGCAGTATTTCCCCATTTTACAGATGGGAAAACTGAGACTCAGTAAAGGTGAATAGCTTGCCCTAAACTACACACACAGCCCAGAAGGGCTGGGAATGGAACTGAGGCCTGTGGGCTTCCTGACCACTGCCTGTGACTACAGAGCTGCAGTCTACCTGTGACTGCTCTATACCAGCCACTCGCTGGTCCTGTACCCACTGTGTATCCCTGTACCTGGCTGGAATGACTGACCAAACATTTCCACATAGACCTTCCACGGCAGTTATTTTATCATCTCAATGGCTACAGAACATGTCACTGAAGGCATTGCCTCTGCTTAGCCTAACCTTTCTTCTTTTCAACATTACTGATAAATCTGCCATGAACCTGCTCATTGACTGATATTTTTTTGTTTCTTTTGTTGACTTGTTTCCCTGGGATGAGTCCCAGAGAGGTACCTCAAAGGGGATGAATAAGGCAGGTGTCCTTGAAAACTTCTCAGGGCTCTGAATAGCCTGGTGGTGTGGCAGGGGAAAGGTTAGGTAGTCAGATTCAAATTACAGTTTTGCTTCAGACCCTTAAGCAAGTCATTCTCCTTTCTGAGCCTCAGTTTCTACATCTGTAAAGTGGGAATAGTGCCTCTCTATATGGGACAGTATGAGGAGCAAATGAGATAAGGTGAGGAAGTCTATATGCCACAGGTGACAGGGCTTCTCCACATCAGAACAGCTCCATCTACTGCCCCACATCCCAAAGGATTCTCCCCAGAGTCTGCAGCTGTAACACTCTGAGTCACCAAAAAGCCCAACTACCTCCACATACTCAGCTGCCAGGGGGCTGAGGCCACACATCTGTGGGGACCCTTTCTTATACTCCTCTGAAGGAAAGGACTCTATCATTGGTTGGCACCTGACGGTTCATAGGGACACAGAGAACAGGTGTTCAGGCAAAGGTACCAGCTCAGGTAGGGTCATGAGGAGTGGGAGGGAGACAAAGAGGAAGGAAGCCCTCGGGACTCAGGCAGCTGGAGACAGGACGACTGGGGCTTCTACAGTAGAAGCCTCCAAGCCTGTACTCACTCCACTGTCCCACCTGGAGGTCTCCCCTCCTTCTCCAGCATGTCCAAATCTTCTCTATTCTCCAAAGTTCAACTCAAGGGCCACTTGATCCAGGCATCCCCCCTTGTCTCCCATCTCCTACATGCCTGGTCTGCCTCTGCCAGCAATCAGGCATGGTGTTGCCAGCTGGAATAGAAGTGGTGCTGCCCAGCTGACCAACACATGGCTCATGGCCAGGCTCCAGAGGGATCTCAGTAGATCTCAATAAGAGCTCTGTGACATGAGCACAGCTGGGTTAATACTTACTCCCATTTTAGAGGTGGAAACACTGAGACCCAGAAGGGGACAGTGGCTTGCTATGGTCCATAGCCTCACTGCCCAGATGACCTAAATCTAGGATTTTAGAATCCTTGTCTGGACTTCTTTGCCTGTCTAGAGCCAGGCCTTAACAAATAACTATTCATTCATTTTATAACATCCTCCAAGTACCTCTCTGTATCAGGGCAGGGGCCACACAGGAAAGATGGAGTGTGAAGAGACAGTGGCATGCTCAGAGAGATGAGGGTGTCCATGTTATGAAGCTCTGTCTCAAAAAAAGAAAAGAAAGATGAGCTAGACTAGGTTAAGGAAGAGGTAAGAAGAAGGTACCAAGAGAACAAGGCCAGAGGTGAGGGTGAGCCTGGCTAGAAGCCCTTCAATATGCTTGGAATTTGGGGCACAGAGAGGAAGGTAGAAAGAAATGAGGCTGGAGGCTGGCTGAGCCCAGATGAGGCTGGGATGAGCCTGGACTCCACTCAGGCTGTTATCCCAAGACTCCATGGAAAAAGGAAGAAAGGGAGGGAGGAAGGAAAGAAAAGAGGTAGAGTGAGAGACCAAGTCTGTGGCAAAAGCGTGGGGTGGCTGGAGGCGGACAGACAGGCAGGGAAGGAAGGAGGAGTGAGACTAGGAGGCCTGACCCAGGGCACTGGCTGTGAGGACAAAGGAGGGGATCTCGGCCGGCGCGGTGCCTCACGCCTGTAATCCTAGCACTCTGAGAGGCTGAGGTGGATGGATTGCTTGAGCTTATGACTTCGAGACTAGCCTGAGCAAAGGTGAGACCCCCATCTCTACTAAAAATAGAAAAACTGAGTTAAGAGGATCACTTGAGCCCAAGAGTTTGAGGTTGCTGCAAGCTATGACGCCACCACAGCACTCTACCTAGGTGACAGCTTGAGACACTGTCTCGAAAAACAAAACAAAAACAGGGCGGCGCCTGTGGCTCAAAGGAGTAGGGCGCCAGCCCCATATGCTGGAGGTGGTGGGTTCAAACCCAGCCCTGGCTAAAAATTGCAAAAGACAAACAAAAAAACAAAGGAGGGGATCTCCAGAGACACAAAAGAGGTTTAGTTGCAGGACTTGTTCTTAACTGAAGATGTGGGGTGGAGGGAGAACAGAGACCTGGGATGGCTGGAAGAGCAGCAGTGGCTGGAGGAGCAACGGTGGCTGGAGAAGCAGGGATGGCTGGAGGAGCAGCAGTGGCTGCTGGGAAAGGTCATGAGCTCTGTTTGGGAGTTTGGGGGTCTGGGGGATGGATGTATAATGCAGAGGAGTATTGTGAGCAGAGCCTGAACTTAGGCTAGGTGTGGTGGCTCATGCCTATAATCCTAGCACTCTAGGAGGTTGAGGCTGGTGGATTGCCACACGAGTTCAAGACCAGCCTGAGCAAAAGTGAGACCCTGTTTCTAAAAACAGCTGGGCATTGTGGCAAGGGCCTGTAGCCCCAGCTACTCAGGAGCTGAGGCAAGAGAATCGCTTGAGCCCAAGAGTTGGAGGTTGCTGTGAGCTATAACGCCATGGCATTCTACTGAGGGCAACAAAGTGAGACTCTGTCTCAAAAAAGAAGCTTGAACTTCAAGAATCACCAGCAGACTGAGCATGCTGGCTCACACCTGTAATCCTAGCACTCTGGAAGGCCAAGGAGGGAGGATCCCTTGAGCTGAGGAGTTGTAGACCAGCCTGAGCAAGAATGGTTTCTATTTTCTACTAAAATAGAAAAATTAGCTGGATGTGGTGGTGGGCAGGTGTAGTTCCAGCTACTCAGGGAGGTTGCGGCAAGAGGATCACTTGAGCCTAGGAGTTTGAAATCGCTGTGAGCTACTGATGTTACAACACTCTACTCCACGGCAACAGAATGAGGCTGTCTCAAAAAACAAACAAAAAACCAAAGAAGAATCACTAGGTCTGGGATCCAGGGAGGGGTGGGTACCTGTCTTGACAAAGCAAGGCTACCAGGAGAGACTGTCATGAAACCCTAGGAGTCACTTGGGAAGCGGGTGCTGTAAGTCAGGGCCACCCCCAACTGGGACCTGGCTGGCTGGAGATGTGGGGCTCTCAGTTTGCACAGCTCTCATTTCTCCCATCCTGCCTGGCTGGGTCCAGCCAGGCTCGGGCAGGGGATCAGAACTCAGCACTGGGACTGGCTCCAAGAGGTAACCCAATGCGGGCCAGGCTGAGAGGGACCCAGGCTCCCACCCCTATGAAGTAACTCTTTACTTCTGGGCATGTTTTGCTGCTCACCTGAGCCCACTTCCACCCAGAATGCCTCCTTCTGGGACCTGCTTGGCAAAATTCTACCCATCTTCCAAGGGCCTGCCCAAGTGCTACATCGTATCTGCACCTTCCACACACAGCAGAAGCACCCTCCCTTTTGGCCTACCTCTGCCCACTGCACCTCCCGGGGAACACACTCCACCACCTTGCTCTGTCAAGGGCCACCCTGGAGGTGAGAGTCTGTCTCACTTGACTGTAGTGCCCTGAGGACAATAAGCACATATACCCACCCCAGCCCACTCCCAACTAAAGGAGTGAGCCTTGTTTTCAGGACTCAAATTCCTGTGTTAGCCCTGATTGCCAAGAGTATCAAGTGGCTCCTCAGCCTCTGTTTACTCTTCTGTAAAATGGGGCTAATACTCCACTTCGCTATGATAATCAAGTGAGTTTATCACTAGAGGGCATGAACTACAGCCCAGGAACACAGCAGGGGCCCCACAAATGCGACCCCCTCTTCCTTCTCACAGCCTGATATAGGAGCTGAGAAATCCATGCTACTGACAACTCGGGCTTCCAGGAGGGGGAGGAGACTTTGTTTTGCCTTGAACCACATCAGAGGACCAACACCTCAGCACTGCTTTCCTGCATAGCCACAGTGGATCCTCAGAAAGGCAGAGGCATGTCCAGGGATGCTGCTGGTGCTCTTCTCTCCCAGTTACATAGCTGACAACACAGTCCTGCCCCACTACCTGGGGGAGTCAGGAAGAGCATCAGAGATTCCCTGGAGAGAGAAGGGGAGAGACATCCCAAGCCCAGGAAACAGCATGGGCAGAGGCAGGGATGGAGGAAAGAGCTTGGTGAATAGGGGGCCCTGCAGATTGCTCTGAGGTGGCTTCAGTGCAGAGGGCAGGGAAGGGTCTTGGGGAGACAGGTTGCAGAGGAGGGCTGAGGAGCTGGCCAGGTCTCCAGGCAAGCCAGGGGGTTTGGGTTTTATTCTGTAACCATAGGGAAGTGTTTTTTTGGCCAGGGCTGGGTTTGAATTGACCACCTCTCGCATATGGGGCCAGCACCTTACTCCTTGAGCCACAGGCGCCGCCCAACCATGGGGAAGTTTTAACATGGGTAGGAAGGCATTGGGATGCCAGACTTGGACAGCTGGTTCTGGAGGCAGGGAAGCATCCAAGGGGCTAAGCTGGTGGCCATGTAAGGTTGTAAGAAGGGTACCTGACTTCCCTTTTTTTTTTTTTTTTGTGAGACAGTCTGACTCTGTCATCCTGGGGTTGAGTGCCTTAGCATCATCATAGCTCACAGCAACCTCAAACTGTTGGGTTCAAGAGATTCTTTTGCTTCAGCCTCCCAAATAGCTGGGACTAGAGGCGCCCGCCACAACGCCCGGCTAGCTTTTCTATTTTTAACAGAGATAGGGTCTCACTCTCGCTCAACTCAAGCGATCCACCCGCCTCCGGCTCCCAGAGCGCTGGGATTACAGGCGTGAGCCTTCGCGCCCGGCCTGACTTGCCTTTTTGCTGCAGTTATTTCTATGCTGGGGTCAGAGGGAGAGATTCCAACAAACAGGACATCCCCAATTTAAGACTGTATTGGAGACGGATACACCCACTCCCAGCCCAGACAGGACCCCAGGGCCTCAGACCTCATTTCTGCTATTCCTCCGCTATTTCCTGAGACTGGGGGTGGGGAGGAGGGAAGGGCGGTCCTGGTCCAGCCCAGTTTACCGACTCTTCTTCTCTGTGCCAGGGTGGGTGGGACGAATTATGGGCCAAGGAGTAAGAAGCAGGTAGCTGGATGGAGGGGCGCCTGGGAGAATCCTCATACTGGAAAGCGCTCATGTTCTCAGGGTGGAGAAACTGAGGCTTGGCGAGGGGGCGTCATATGACGCCCAAGGTCAGGCTGTGAGCTGAAGGCAGAGGAAGGGTGTGAACCTGCTTGCGGTGACCTGGCTTTCGGGAGGCCGCGGCAAGCCGCGAGAAAAAGCGCGAGGGGTGGAGGGCGCCGCTTCTGGGGCTGAGGCGCCCCGGCTCACCTGGTAGTTGTCCAGCTGCTCTTCGGTGAAGATGGTCTGCTTGTTCCCCATGGCGGCCGCCACGCTGTCTGTCCCGCCCGGGCGCCGCCTCCCATCAGCGGCAGCTGGAGCCCGGAGCCCGCGCCCCGCGCCGGCGGCCCTGTCCCACCGCAAGGTGGACAGCGTCTCCCAGACCCCGGACCGCGGCCTCGCCTCGCCCTGCCCCTGAGGGGGCGGGACGCGGACCTGGAGAGCCGGCGACTCCGCCCCGGGGCGGGGAGAGGGCCGAGCACTCGGCTCCGCGGCCGCAGCGCGCCCCGGGCCCGCCAGGAGGCGCCCTGGCCGCGGGAGGTGCTGCTCTGCGCTCTGGGTCCTCTGTGTCTGCGTGGTTCTGGGCTCAGGACCCACCAAGACTTGTGGCCGCGGGACGCCAGGTCGTGCGCGTGGAGCGTGCAGGCCTGGGAAGATCCCTTCGAGGGCTGCGGTTGGCGAGTAGCGTGATCGTGGCTCCCCTTGCTCCGGGGCGGCAGGCCCTGAACTGTGAGCGGGGCATCTGGCCAGGCCCCAGCTCTCCCGTCTCGCGTCGCCACCTTGAGCAGCCTCTCCTGGCCGCATCTCTCTAGCTGATCTCTAAGGCCCTCCGTGGCCAGCACCCGGAGAAGCCTGTCTGGCCTTTGACCACCTCCTGGGCAGGGCATCTTAGGACTCTGGATTCCTTAGGGAGCGGGACGGGATTTGCTTGGCTTTCTTTGCGTTCTTGATTACAGACAAGTGAGTTTTGAGAACATTTAAAAGCCTTCACAATGTCTGGAGAAGTGTGACAAAACCCAGGACGTTTTCTGGGGCTTTTAAGCAAATGCCATTGTAAGGGAGGCAACACTTTACCTCTCCTTCTGAGGGTCTCTGGCAGGGCCTAAGGATTAATTTGGCACAAAACAGATTAACAGGAGAATAACATATAGATTTGTTTAATACAAGTTTCACATGACATGAAAACCCTTGTGAGGAAATGACCCAAAAATCCGGTAAAACATAAATACTTTAAGGAGGTTGAACAGAGAGATGCAGTTGTGGAAAAGTAACTAAAATACTATACGGGGAGGCTAAAGGAAGGTAAGAATTATTGTAACGAGGTCAGTTGGCACAGAGTTCTCTGGGTCTCAGCTTCTTATCCATGATGATAAGAATGTTTCTTTTCTCCTGGGATAGGGCTGGTAGCTCTCACAAAGGAATTTCGTCTTCTGTTTTTAAGAAATAGAAGGAATATCTTAAGGACCTTTGCACTAGATTGTTTATTGCTGCTCAATTTACAATTGCCAAGATATGGAAACAACCTAAAGCCCATTATCCTAGGAATAGTTTAATAACTGTGGTATATGTATACCATAGAATACTATTCAGCCATAGAAAAAGATGGAGACCTTCTTGTGTATTAATCTGGATGAAGTTAAAACACATTCTTCTGAGTAAAGTATCACAAGAATGGAAAAGCAGGTATCCAATGTACTCCATACTAATATAAAGCCAGTAGACAATTTGATCCATGCCCACGCAAGAGAAAAACTCAATTTAATTCAAGATGGAGGGAGGGAGAAGGAGGGAGGGGAGAAGGAGAAGGGAGGGTAGGGAGGGGAATGGCTGTGCTCCTACTGGATGGTCACAGTGTGGGGGTATATGGTCCACTTCCTGAGGGTCAGACGCAACTACAGCAGGGACTATACCTAACAAATGCAAACATCTGATTCGTTGTACCCTCAAATTAACCTGAAATAAAAAAAAGAAAAGATATAGAAGTGGGATCACCTGAGCATCCTTCCTCTTCTTTTTTTTTTTTTAAAGACAGAGTCTCGCCAGTATCACAAGGATGGAAAAGCGAGTACTACTCAATTTAGTACTACTAAGACTAGACCTCAATTTAGTACTACTATGAAGCAGTAGACAAGCTAATATATGCCCACAAAAGATAAGAACTCAATTTAATTCAAGTTGGGGGGAAGAGGGGGCTGGGGTGCTCTCACGTAGGGGCACAATGTAAGAGGACATGGCATACCTCCTGGGTGAGGGACACAACAACAACTGGGACCTACCTAACAAATGCAAACATTGTAATCTAATTGTAGCCTCATAATAATCTGAAATTTTAAAAAAAGAGAGAAATCTCCAGGGGCCTCAGAGGCACAATCAATAGCCCTTGGATGGGCAGGAAGCAACCAACCAAGGGGGTTGTGGATCAGCCTTCAAAGACCCCTCACCATCTTCACTGTGGACACATGAATGCAATAGGGGCCTCAGCCTTGGGGGAAAAAGGCAGGATATGTCTTCAGAAATTCAGAGAATGAAAAATTTTAGAGCAGAATTAGGCACTTTTAAAAGGTTTAATCTGCACTTTCCCTTTCTCCCATGTTAGAGTTGGGGAAACGGAAGCCCTTTCCAAACCACATAACCACTATTACAGACGTTTTCCTTCTTCCCATCTTAGGTTGGTTCTGCATCACCCACGGAGAGGCCAGAAGTCTGCGTGTGCAAATCCTGCTCTGGTACATTCTTGTGTAATTACTAACATGCTGCTTTTGCATAGCAGGTGTTCTAGGTAGAAAAACCAGACCTCTTTGAAGAGGAATGTGCTTTCAGTGCTGGGAGCCCTTCCCTCTCCCAGGAGATAAATGAGGCAACCTGTCTGACTAGAACATTTGCTTGAAAAATCCTTCCTGTAGTTTTGGGATACAAAAACACACAGACTTTTGGCCTCTCCGTGGGTGATACAAAAATCCCCAAACTAAGATGTTGGCTTGGATGCGGAGAGAAGGGAACACTTCACTGCTGGTGGGAATGCAAGCTAATACAGAATTTTGGGAAAGAAGTTTGGAGAATATTCAAGGAATTAAAGTAGACCTACTGTTTGATCCTACAAGTCCCGTACTAGGTATATACCCAGGTGATCTTGCAGCCCAATTCATAATTGCCAAGTCATGGAAGCAGCCCAAGCGCCCATCCACTCATGAGTGGATTGACAAATTGTGGTATATGTACACCATGGAATACTATGCAGCCACAAAAAGATGGAGACTTCACATCTTTTATGTTTGCCTGGATGGAGCTAGAATATATTCTTCTTAGTAAAGTATCTCAAGAATGGAAGAAAAAGTATCCAGTGTACTCAGTACTACTATGAAACCAATATATAATCACCTACACATTCACACAAATGGTAAAACATAATTATAATCCAGAAAGGAGGGAAGAGAAGGTAGAGGGGAGGGGACCTTAAGTAATGTGCACAATGCAATGGTACATTTCAAAACTATTAAGAATAGAGTATAAATGTCTTACCACAACAAATAAGTAAGGGAGGTGATGGTTATGTTAATCAGTTAGATGTAAGCATTTCACATTGTATATCAAATCAATACATTATACCCCAAAAATGCATTAATGTACACAGCTATGATTTAATAAAAAGAGAAAGAAAAAAATCCTTCCTGTTCACTATTGTCACTGCCCTCATTGAAGCTCTGTTCCTTGAACAGTGCTGTGGAGAGGGGCCAGGTATATGATTCCTGTATTACAGATGAGAAACCCCGAGCTCAGAAAGTGACTTGCATGATGGCAAGAGAAGTGTCAAAGCAAAGCTCTGACCTCATTCTCTGATTCCACATACTGTGCTTTAGTAGCTCCCAAATGTTCAGCATAGTCCCTGAGGAAGATTGTGTGTGTGTGTGTGTGTGTGTGTGCGCGCGCGCGTGCACACACGTGTATGTGTGGGGACGGTGGACTGAGGGAGAAGAGAGAAGCGTTACTGATCACCTGTCTAGTGTTAGGATTGTATTAAATGCTTTATATTTACTGAATGCGATTATTTCACAAACACCTCCTACATTTGTTGTAGAGATTAACATTATTATCCTATTTCACAGATGAAGAAATAGTCTCAGAGAAGGTGACTTGTTGGAGGTCACACGACTGAAGGCTGGGTTTAAATCTGGGCTCTGTCTCTCTCTCCTCTTTTTTTTGTTTCCTACCCAGTGTGAGAATGGTGGGAAATGGCTCTCTCTCTTCTCTTGATCACATCGTATAGTGAAGGGGCAATGTGGATGTGGGATTACCTTTGTTAAAAGGGGTGGACCCCTAGTCTCTTGCCGTTTTGTAAATGACGTAACAGGGAAAGGCAGCCGGGGCCAGGGTACTGCTGGTGTTCATTACATGTTTGCTTTTGACTCAGATGATGAAGGTTATTTTAAAATTTGGGAGGAAAACAGGAGTAAGTGCTACCAAGTGCACAAGGAGTGAATTTGACAGAAGGAAAAGGATTTCAGTAAGTACAATATTAATTTCTTTCCACAATCCTTCCAACTTACCCCACTGCTGGTCTTTGTGATGAAATGTCACTGATTGCAAGTTGTTTATCTGACACTTTGAATTCAAGTGGATTTTTTTTTTTTTTTTTTTTTGAGACAGAGTCTTGCTTTGTCATCCTCGGTAGAGTGCTATGGTGTCATAGCTCACAGCAACCTCAAACTCTTGGGCTCAAGTGATCCTCTTGCCTCAGCCTCCTGAGTAGCTGGGATTACAGGTACTCACCACAACTCCCGGCTATTTTTAGAGACAGGGGTCTTGCTCTTGCTCTTGCTCAGGCTGGTCTTGAACTTGTGAGCTCAAGCAATCTACCCACCTCAATTTCCCAAAGTGCTAGGATTACAGGCATGAGGCATTGCACTGGCCCCAAGTGAATCTTAATGGTAGAGATGGAGAGCCCTGGGCCTGGAGCCTGGAGCCTGGGGATACCTCCTAAAGGAAACAAGCAAACCTACCTGCCAGCAGAGCAGCCCAGGGGCTGGGTAAGTCACCCCACCCCCACCAGTGTTCTACCTGAGTCCCTTGCTGTGCTACCGCTAACCTTCATCAGTTTCAGGGCCCCTCCCAGCATGGCCTGCCTGCTATCTTGGCTTGTGGGGGATCTTTTCTGTCTTATAAGCTATTTAAACTTCGTTTCATCCTGAAGTCTTGTCTTCAAGTTCAAATCTCATTCCTCCCTGAAGTCTTGTCTTCACCACAGTGCATTGTCACCTTGGCCT